TAATACATGTATTAAAACACAGGTAAGAATTGCAATTTCTCACCATTTCACGTGTTTTTGTATGTTTGCGAGTCTGGAAAAATTTTCTTGAAGAGTTCATTTGCATGGTCTGCCACCCTCAAAGGCACATTGTGTTCAATTAAATAATCCGTAAATCTCACTTCTGCGTCAAGACAGACAATTCTCTATCTGCTGCAAAGAAGCTTGAGATATTGGGTGTAGATTCCACTGCACCCGCATAGCATAAATGCTTTTGAGAGTCAATATGCCTCTGGCAGTCACTCTTTCCTCCGTGCCCTACTAGAAAGTCTATCTTACATAACATGCAATAGCCATGATTAACACTGAGTTTCGACTTCACAAGTACAGGCCACATCTGTGTATATTCGTTCCTGAATTTCTGTGAAAGACGGGGTTTTTTGGATGGCAATGTGGACGCCATTCTCCTCACGTGTTAATCTGATTAGCAGACAAACTACGCGACACCTTGTAGACAGCGCCTGTCTGACTAGGCTGTTCCATTTACCGTAGACATGCCAGATACAAAATGCATATGGGCACGTCCACAGTAAATGTAGAAAAGTGTGACATGGACCATGAATTTTCAAATGCATTATTTTCTAATTTGATAACAAAATTTCTATAGCAGGAACATTATATTTTCATAATAGAACTATTAAAAGATAACTGCTTAACCGGATTTCATAAAAAAATGAAATTGGTCGTGCTGTAACGGTTGTGATGTACAATATAAAATTCTGTTTTGCATCAAATTCATCCATCCAGTTGGGCTAGTACATTATTGAAACAATGTGTAATGCAGGCCAGTGTAATTTGAAACTGTGCCTGCACCAAAGTGAATAATATAAATATAATAAAACGCCTCTTTATACATGTAACGGTTGTGATGTATCATTTGGGCCATAATAACTTTTCCCGAATAGCAGATTGAATATCAAACCAATGTTTTCTCAAATCTAGGGTTTGGATTAGTTGATCTTCAAAATGCAGTATGTATTATTTATGTGCACCCAATATCATTGGGCAGAAAATAACAAATAACAATGTAGTGTAACGGTTGTGATGTATCACTATGCATCCCGGTTGTGATGTATTGACATCAGAATTTAATGCATAGAATAAGAACATGCCTAGCATAAGAAAAATGCCCTGACAAGCGTTACAAACAAGTTTATAGAACATTCTAAAGCATGTAAAGTAACAACACAACTTACATAAGACTTGGCTCAACATGTCTTGAAGCCAACTTAACATTTAACAGCCTTAAGGGCCATTCATACTTCTCCGGCGGCGTCAAAGAGGACGACGTAATGACGTCATCAGTTGCCAATCGAGCAGGTGTGTGCTGCAGAAAAGTGACCTGATGACGTCAGAGCGTAGTCCATTTTAAATTGATTTAGGGGGGAAAATTTGCAGGCAATGTGTCCTCAGCAGCATGGTTTTCAATTATTTGGCGCGTGGTTAACCCCTCGACAGAGGCGCGCTTCTCCAGAGTGGTACATGTATTCACTGTCTAATCATTCATGCTATTAATGTATGTAGGTCTTAATAAGAGCCATATCAGCATTTGTAAAAAGTGTATGGCCTCTTCTGTCCAGAACTGGCACTTGCAGTTCCACAACAAGGTCTTCTTCGTTTTGCCATGAGCTTTGCTCCAACCATTCGAAGTAAGAACCTGCAAAAGGAAATAAAACATCTTTATTAAACATGCCGTTAGCATGGTTAGCCATAGAAGGTTGTCACATGAGTGTGTCCATCATCTTCATTCACAGACAAGCGGTATTAACTCTTACCAGTTTGTTTCATATATTTCACATTATAACGGTGGTCCTCTGTGTCCACAGCCAATATCATCCCAATGTAGAGCTTAGCGCCACATCTCACAATGGTATATGCACCAGGATGAAACCTGTTGCCCTGAAAAAAATAAAACTTTATGTAACCCTGTCAAATATCATACCAAAGCTTGCATTATAACATTAATGGTCATTAAATACACAGTATGAATGGAATTTAATTGTCCACTCACCTCAGGAACATCTTGGACTGTGACATTATCAACCTCCGGCATCTGGTCAGTCACCTCACTCTCTCCGACGATGGCTGCTACACTAGTACGACTCTCGACCACCTCACCAGTCACAGTCATGTCATCACTATTGGCAAATGATTCAAGCCCTTCGAAATCTTGAAGTATGTCTGCTCAGGAGCATGTTTGATCTGACATCAAAACACCATCCAGGACCAAGTCGTCTGTCATGTCTGTTAGGAAGGTTAAGGCAATTCATTAACAAACAGGAAGCAACATCCATGTGTTATTACCAATCAAGTTCAAAAAAACTAGGACTCCAGTGTGGTGTCATGTTACCATTGTCAATATTTAGAAAGAAACGTTTGCAGATTTGCTGTGTACAATGTACCCCAATTTGTCTTTCCACTGCTGCAAGAATTCTGAAGCACTAAAGGGACAATATCATGCAGTACAATGTGGCGTCATGAGCGGTAATTTTCTGTCCGGACAAAACTGAAATGGGGTTGAATCATTTGTTTTAAACAGAACACTTTTAAAAAAAGGATACGATCAAGAATCAAAGGAGTGTCTTCTATCATTGGCAAACAAGCCACGAAGTGGTTCGGGGTCCACAGTGCTTCTTCATCAGACATACGAATTGATGACCACATTATGGTTGCCACGCCGGCAGAACGGTCTCTACATGCTCGAGGTTCAACAATGCGATTCAGAAGGTCACGTGTTGCCTTGCCACCTGCGTCCGGGTATATTGACTGGATTGGGCACTGCAATACACTAGCCAGTGCAAATATGGCCCACATGTCCATGTAGCTGCCATTGGCGAGAGTTTTCATGGCAACCTGACCAAAGGCATCTGCAATAACGTGCGTACTGTCAATCCTCAGCCCCTCTGGTAACTTGGCTTCAGAAAACACAGTGAGCATGAATGCCAGCTTTTTCTGATTCTCATTCGGGTGATGCCCTTTGTTGAGGTATTCCTCCGATATGTAACATGAGGAATGTAATGCCATTTCTATAGCGATACGAACTCTCATTTCTTTCCAGTAATTCTGATGTTGGAATGCGAACATACTCCCACACCTGGGAAGACAGTTTCCATCTGCATTGATTGAAACTGGGAAGAGGGAACCACATGAGTTCAGAGAGAATGCAATTTTATCAATCGTACTCTTCGTACCAACCACACTGACTTCCTTTGGTTGGCAGAGCAATTCATACTTCTCAACCACTGGTAACACATGTGTGCATCTTTCCTGTAATTCCTGGAAACCCTTGCTCTTAGCGAGGAAACTCTGGACGCATTTGAAGTCATCCTCTCTGTTTCCAGAAAAGTGTGGCGTACCTGGATAAACTTGATGTTGCCCAGTGACCTGATCTCCCATTGTGACTGTTACAGTATTACCAGTTGGTCTTCCAGTAACAATTGAGACATTTGTCCAACTGTCCACGTACCCGTTGTGGCACTTCTTCCCGGTTCTACAGTCTGTGCAGAAACACGCTAAGGTACGAGTGTTCACTGTTCCATCAGATGAAGTCTGGACACAGTGAAGTCCTCTAGTACCAGGTATGGTCTTCGTTATTTCATTTGGTCGCTCTATATCTTCAACGAAGAAGAACGTTCGTCTGGCATGGCAGCAAGCACCTTCGACGTCGTCTCGTGTTAACTCCTGTACACAGTATTGGTACATCTCCGAAGCGTTCCGAACTATCGCTCGCCGAGCCATAACGGCTGATCGTACGAATGACTTGACAACGCCAGTTACGCCATCGCTTGGGCCCTTACCATGGCGTGAGCCAAAGAAGCATCGCGTGATAGGTACACCAAATAGAGCAACTGCTTCCGAAATGTGTCGAAAGGGCAATCGACTTTTGTACTGCGATGAGCAGCCATCCGTAAATTGCACTTCATGCTTTAGGTTGAGGTGGCGCTTCTCTCGAAGATGACGATTAGCTTCAACCAGGAATGCTTTGACAGCATGGGCATCGTGGATCTTGTCGGAAGACAGAAAAACAAGTTCCTCCTTTACCGTTTCATTGTGGATAGGGCACTTGTAATAGGTTACTATAGGGTGTATCGTAGCCTGCTCATGATGCCAATGCGCCGACTGTGCTTCATCCTGATTGGTGCACGCGTAATTCTGACCGAAGTCGAGAACCATGACTGCTGTCCCCTCATCTTCAGGTATGTTGTTCACGATGTTCTTGAATTCGTTGTATTGCCATGCAGCTACAAATAAGTGTGAGGCCAGTGTCTCGAGCTCAGAGCAAAATTCATCGACCAGGGTAGACACAGATCCTTTCAGGGAGATGATGCCCTTGTAACTCTTGCAGGCCTTGTTCTTGTCTTCAATCAATCCCCATTTGTACCACATGACATCGTCATCACTCTGTAGGGGTTCCAAATTCTTCTTCATGATATCCACACCACAGTTGTTGCATTTCCTCCCCACGCACTCACGCTGATGGTATTTTGCACCTGCCAACTTAGGACAAAGTGTTTCTGACACCGCCTTAAATCTATCCGTGATTTTTGATTTCACCTCCGTGCTCTTGGTTTTGTCACAAACCAAGAGCAATGCCTTGATCTTCAATTCAAAATTCGCACAATATTCGCAGATGCATTGATTGACTGGAGTATCTTGACTGGGTTTTACATGTGTTGGCTTCAAGCTTGCAAACTTAGATCGACCAACTTTGACATCTGGATGTTCAGCTTTAAAGTCCTCGTAAGTATTTCGTATTGTCTTCTGGAGAACACGTCTGCACTTATTTTTCTTCACCAGTTTTCTATCAGGTAGTACAACAGACACCTCCGGTTGCTGATAGAAGTCTTCTACCAGATCAATGACATCAGGTTTCAGCGCATCTGATCGTTTAGCCTCTTCCTCTGCAGGCAGACGGGAACATTTTTCAAGGAATGCTGTACTGACACCCAGTTCTTTGGCACCTACATTTATGTCCGAATATCCTGGTGCCAATGTATTAAGAATACTTTTCTTCTCCTTGCGCTTTGACTTTGACAGTTCCCCTTTGACAGTATCAAATGTTTCCTCAAGGACCTTTTGTTTTTTGGCCGATTGAAGCGATAGACCAGCCTCACCAAGTGCCTTTCTTTTCCTTGGAGATAAAGTAGACACAACATGTGCCAGTGCAGTGGCAAACTTCTTTCGTGAATTAGGGCATGCGTCCCGGATTCGTGAGGCAGCTTGTCTTTTGGCCTGAGGGGACATAACATCACAGCCATTATTTTCTTCATCTTCTACACTTGGATCAACATTTTCATCAACATTTTCATCATCACTGTCAGGCTTCTTCCTGTTCCGATCGTATTCTTGAACTCTCCTTACTTTTTGTGAGTGCATCTTTGATCTAGATTCCCTTTTTTTGTCTCTGTTATACTTTCTTTTTTCCTCAGTTTGTTTCCTCGTCTTCAATACAACTTTTCTACGTCGTTGGCTTATTTTCTTTCCCTCGGCTTTACATTTGTTTCTGTACTTTTGTGACCTACAATAGAGAATTTACCAAGGGTCAGAAACCAATCAAAACCTGTCAACGCTACAATACATGTCAGTCAGAAACTCACTTCATTGATTTGATTTTAAATCAATGATTTTAATCAATCAAATTGACTTGATTAAATCATTGATTTAAATCAATCAATTGATTTAAATCAATGATTTTAACATATTAACTCGTCCCCAGAGTGTAATGCGCTCACTTTTACCTCAGGGACCAACCCGATTCCACACCTTTGTAATAAGGCCCAAAAGCCTTGTAATAAGGGTTATAAATAGATCTCCAAGACGTTAGGACTAGTAGCGCCCCCTTCTCAGACTCGACGGTGATGAACAGTGGCGCCCTCACACGGCAACCTGGCTAACGACGGCAGCAACGGTGCTTGGGCACGGCACCCGATGACAAACAACAACGGCAATGGTGCCTGGACGCGGCACCCAACGACAAACAACAACGACGGTGCCTGGACGTGGCACACAACGGCAAAAATGCGTGCAGCAACAGCTCTCGATAAAGACTACTGGCGCCGCCCGACGATGGACGGGAAACGATAGCGACGCTTACAAACACCCCTGCTATTGTATAACAGCCTGCAGTTTCTCGTCAATAAGGAAGGAAATACAGTGGGACCACCCTGTTTGGATGGACTGCATGGTTTTCAATAATTTGCTGAACGAACAAACCTTATTCTGCTTATTTCTCGTTCATGTTCCTTTTGTTCATCAGATTTGGGTTCTTGTCTCCGGGTGCATGATCTTTCACGTTCTTTCTCCAGATACCTGGAAAATGAAAATGTTGTGATTACATAAACCTTCAACCATGTTTGGCAATTGATTGGATGGACGGACAACCAGTTCTTGAATGGGATGTTCAAAAAACATTTAGATTGATAATAAAATGAAATCATTTATTACCCGACCCCTCCAAAGAGTTTATAATTTTGTAATAGTTTCCAATGATAAAGGCAAGATATTCCCTGTCCCTGGGCAACCCTTCCAGAAATTCTGACAACAACAAAATATTGTAGGCCAAGCCTGCTTTTTCACCCTATCAAGGAAAATTACCACGGAGAACATGGCTAACGCTCCATTAGGAGAGTTCCCAACTTTGATATCATTAATGATTAATGATTGATGATTGATAATCCTAACCATAACCCTAACCTAAATGACATTAAACCACAAACTAATATATGACCATATATATGTTATTATGACCATTAATGACATTAAAGTTGGGAACACTCCTAATGGAGTATCACCTCGGAGAACACTGCCTAAACTAATAATTTAGTTTCTGCACAAATGTTGTCCTAAAGAACATAAAGAAAACTTAGGGAATAAATGCCTGCAAGCTACCAAATGTTACGACGGGACTCACAACTGATAGGCCACTGGATGACGATTTCGCTTAATACGACATTTCTTCATCCTTGCTGCTCCAGATTGCCGCACTTTTAGTGGTGGAGTTGCAGGTGCTGGCAGACATGGTGGTATAGCATTATTTGCCGCCTTATTGAAAAGCCGTGCAGACAGCCTGGAAAAGAATTCAAAATGGACAATCATTTAAGGATTACACACTTTACTCAATTTAAAATTAATTACAAAGTGCCACCTCATTTCAACAGGACTGTACCCAATGTGACTTGCTAGGCCTATGACTGTTTACATTGTTTTGTAAAATGATGTACCCTGCAGTGAAACAAAGTCTGGCATCAGGAATATTTTGTGACGGTTGTGATGCTCAGTATGAAGTATCGTTGTCAAATCATCACAACCGTGTTTTTGCTAATTGGTTGCTAATTAAACAGGCTATCATCTCGGGAGTAAACTCCTATGTCCCTCGTAAGGTTATCCGTAATAAGGCTTCAGTCCCTTGGTTGTCCTCCTCCTTAAAGAAATCTATGAGGAAGAGGGATCGCTTGTTCCAAAGGGCCAGGCATTCAAAAACGCCCACTAGCTGGTCTAGATATCGCAATCAAAGAAA